TACGTTTGTGAACGTTTAACCTCAGGCACACAGTAGTAAATGTTTGGACACGTTAATAAACGTTTGGTCACTGTAACGTACTGGTGAATGTATAACCCTAATTACACAATCGCAACATTTTATCATTACTGTCATTATGATTATCACTACCCTTCTCATTATCGTTCTTACTATCAATTTCAGTCGTGCATTAATAAACCAGTTTTTCAAGTCGTGCGCAAATAAAGCCTTTTATCTTATTATCATTCACTATCACTGTCACTCTCGGTCATACACTAATCTCTTCCCTCGTTACCATCATCACTATCAGTCGTACACGAAGAAACCCTTTTACCTCATCATTATCTGTCACTATTACTGCCATCATCATCATCTCTATCCCTATCGCTATCGGTCGTACATTAGTAAACCAATTTGTCAAGTCATGCACGGAGAAACTCCTTTACCTCGTCATCCCCATCAGTCGTGCACTAATCTCTTACCTCATAACGGTCAACACAATCAGCACTGCCAAGATAACGAATCCAATAATGACACCAAATGCTACGAGTGCTGGTTTAGGTCCTTTGCACAGTGACTTTGTGTCTGACACGTGGTAGCTTTCGTGAGGACCTGTAAAAATAATGTTATATGAGCTCCCTGTGTGTATCGTGTAGTTTCTGTATCGTAATTCTTAACCTTATTTAGAGCCACGATTCCCCTTTTAAGAATCTGACGAAAGCTGTTCGTGTAAACACAACTTTGTATGCAATGTGCATAATGTAACCTTATTGACTGAGATTGGTTTGTCTCATACATATATGAGATACACGAAGTATTATTAAACTTTAAAGTGCACAATAAGAAAGAAGAAAACAAGAAACAAAAGAAATGTGGTTAACACAGTATGTATAAATGCCTGAAACTTATTCAATTTACCTTGTACTGATTAGTTTTAGAGAGACTATTATCACTTCTGCTTTGGCCTTTACACAGCTGAATGCCTGATTAAGCATCAAGACTTTTTTGCTTTTGTATTTCTTGAGTTTGTAAGATTAACCTCAGGTGTAACGCCAATCTTTCGCATTACTATTATCACTTATGTTGTCATTACTGATGTAAGCCTTATTCAAATTGTTATTATCCACATAATTGCTATTATGATTATTGTTGTTATCTTCATTATTGTTATTATTATTATTACTGTTATTATTTTTTCATCATCATCGTCATTATTGTCATTACTATTATGATTGTTATTCTTTATTATTACTATTATTATGATCATTATCATTAATATTATTACTAACATTATTATTATCATTATCTACATTACTGATATTATCATCAATATCATCAGTCTCAATATCACCATCATTTTTATCACTATCATAATTACTGTAATTAATATTATTATCATTATTTCACTTATCATCATCATTATATTATTCCTCCTCCTTCTCCCTCTCCACCTATTACTACTGCTATCACCAAAATCCTCATTATCATTACACCCTTCTCACCTTCATTACTATCAGCTTCAATATAATTATTCTGTTACTTATATCTACCATTTTTTCTCACCACATGTACTCACCAGCTGCCGCCACAGAGATCACTGCTACCAGGTAACACTTATCCCTTTCAAGGGGAAGGTTATGTATGCCGTGGCGAGTCTTGTTGTCTCCAATGGTAAACTTGACGTCTGATGCCCTCGCTACCTCGTCATGCTAAAATTGGGTTGGGTTCAATGTGTGTATATGTTATATATATATATATATATATATATATATATATATATATATATATATATATATATTGTTATGGAGATCTCTATTTGTATCTGATTGCTTGTTTGTGTATATATCTATCTAGATATGTTTTATGTATTTCTTCTTTTATTTTCTGTAGATCTTTTATCAATAATATATATACTCATCACACACACACACACACACACATGCATACATACCTCGAGAACTGCGCAGATCCATTCGATGACGTCGCTTCTATGGAGCCGTTTGTCATCCTCCAGTCTTTTGGCAAGGCTGATCAAGTAATTCTTATCTCCCCACTTGGTTGTGTCTCCCTCATCCTTCCTTACCACCACGTACTGCTTACTGTAAATATATGCAGGAAATGATGTAATTCAACATACCGTTTGAAAGAAATGATTTTGATGATAATAATTGTATGAGGAAGAGCTCCTCAAATATGAAAATAATTTTTTCTCTCTCTCTGTCTGTCTCTGTATACACACACACACACACACACACACACACACACACACACATATATATATATATATATATATATATATATATATATAAACACACACGCACACATACACAAGGGGCTCTCCTGACACACCTTCCATGGACGTACAGGAATGAAAAATCGTAGTTATTAGTATTTTTCTTCTTTCTCCCACCAAATGTGACACACTTGTCCCATAATTTTATGCAGCTATGGACTCTGCAGGTATCATTTAAAGCCACGAAATGACTTCAGAAAGCAATGTCTCATCACCTTGGAAATGTTTGCCTTTCAAAAATAACTTCGTAGATGGAAAGAGGTGATAATTGGATGGTGCAAGAGCAGGAGAATGAGGAAGGATGTCGTAGCAACAGGACCGCTTTTTCATCTGGGCAATGTGAGAGTTGTAAACAGGAGCATCGTCATGTAGGAGGCAGACACCTTTAGTGAACATTCTGCACCTCTTGGTTTTGATAGCCTCCCGCAATTTTTGTAGCAGTGAAACATAGTAACACACACACACACACACACACACACACACACACACACATATATATATATATATATATATATATATATATATATATATATGTACAAACACACACACACACACACACACACACACACACACACACACACACACATATATATATATATATATATATATATATATATATATATATATATATGTACAAACACACACACACACACACATATATATATAATTATGTGTGTATGTGTTACGATTACATTACGATACTGACTTCACTGCAGTAACACTTAATCATGATCACACTAAACCTAATTAGGATAAATGCATACTATCCATCCCATGAAGTTACCATAAACATCAATTCTTATAATGATAAAAGAAAACGAAAGAAGGAAAAGAAAAAAAAAGAGAAAAAAAGAAAATGAAAAAGAAAAAGACAAAATAGGGAAATGAAAAAGAGAAAGAACGAAAAAAAAGAACGAAAAAGGGAAATGAAAAAGAAATAAAGAACGAAAAAAAAGAAAACGAAGAAATGGAAATAAAAAAAAAAGAAAGAAAGAAAAGAAAAAAAACGAAGAAAAAAATGATCATCTTCCAACACACTTAATAACGTCTCTTGAAGAAATATAGGGCAGAGAGATCGTTGTGGTTGACGGCTGGCTGCTGATCCACGCCACTTGGCCCTGCACTTCCGGGGCCTCAGGCACGGTCCAGTTCAGAGTCCATACGCTGTCACTGCACAGTATGCTGTTGCACACCTTCACTGAGATGTTATAGTGGCGACCGGGCGTCAGGCTCTCAAACTGGGGGGAGATATGTAATTATTGATTTTTTTTAGGCACACACAAATATAAACGCACATGTACACACACACGCACACACATTGTATATACACGTTATATGAGTGTGCTTAGTATATTTTTATTTGACAACAACACACGCCACTGTTAAGACTTCGCTCACATTTCCAATTGATCTATATCTACATCATTTACAACTCCCCTGAAACACCAACCACTCCCCGTAAATACCAAACAACTCACTCGCAAAACAATCGAGTAACTCACCGCATACGCCCGGTCAGCAGCCGTTAAATTCTCCGCTCGGCCGCTCACTCCGCCAGTTACCTCGTGGATCTCGACCTCGTGGATCCCGACCTCGTATCCTGCGACCTTCCCCGAGGCGAACTCCGGCTCCTGCCACGTCACAGCGATCTCTGTTGTAGTGGCGTGTGTGATCGTCATATTTCGGGGGACACTCGGCTCTGTTTATATAAAAAACAACGATTTATTTTTTTAATTTATTTAATTTTGAAAAAGGTGAGGTCTTATGAAGATTAAATAATCATATCACTACGTAGCCAGCGTGTGAGTTATTCTGTTTATAGTTCTGTGATGGATGATGACATAATTCAAAATGGCATTAATAAAAAGAACGACGAATGAACAGCGAAACAAATCATCAGTAACATCAACAGTACCATCAATCCAGCAGATCACATACAGCGAAAAAACAACAACAAAAACGGTAGCATTTATATCAAATAAGACTCAAAATTGTCAGCATCAATCCTTACTTCCTTCTTCTGTTTTGGCACCACGCTTCACTGACAGACCTAGCTCGTCCACGCCTTCGTTTCTTGCTGCGACCTAGATCATAAAAAAGAAAACTAATGAAAAAATGCTCATTAAATGAATATGTATCTATGTATCGATTGCAGCATTTCCCAATATTCCCATTATTACTACAACTACCTTACTGCCTTAGCCACTATTACTATAACTAGTAGGAGTATTATTAGCATTATTACTAATATCATTACCATCAGTATCATTCTTATCTGTTATTATCATTATATTTTTTACCGTTGTTATTATGACCGCTTAGCCTTACCAACGATGATAACGACCACTAACTAATAAAGCTTAAAACCGTTGTAACAACAACACTCCTTACAATAAAAAAACAACATATATGATGGTGACTTACCTTGACCTCATATTCCGTATCGGTTACCAAATCGTCTATGACGTATTGCGTGTATGTAGTTTTCGCCGGCTTGGACCACGAGCTCGCACCTGCCGTTTTCCAAGAAAGCTCGTATTCACTGATTTTTCCTTTGGGTGGGCAGTCCTTCGGCTTCTCCCAGATTAAAGTGAGGCTGTTTTGGGCTCCATTAACTCGTAGGTTTCTCACACGGAGGGGAGCTGGGAGGGAGAGGGAGGGAGGGAGGGAGAGGGAGCGAGGGAGGGAGGGAGAGAGAGGGAGGAAG